ACCTAGGCTCCTGCGCGGTTTTAAAGAAGCATTTTTTTGCCATTTTCTATTTTTAACTTTAGAACTGTGTTCTACTCAATCCACAGCTTTATGTAGCTGTAGTTTAAGGAAAAAGTGAAAACAAGACACTACTTCAAAGTCGGGTCCTCTTCCAGCTTCCCAACACAAGAGCTCTGAAAGTTACACATGCCTGTGGAGCCCGTGTTGCATAAAACAACATTTTATACAACTGACTGGTAGTTCCTGGGACTCCTTAATTGCCTTTGTGACTACTTAGTTCCTGTGACTACTTATATTGCCTTTACAAAAAGAAAACAAGAACAGAACAGAACGAAATTCCTGAGTTCCAAATCAACTTGTCACACATCAGTATAAATCCAGTGTCCCGGCAGAGAAGATGCTTTCACTTTCATCTCACGCTAGAGCTTCAATCCTGATTCATTTCAGCTGAGACTCCACAGGCAACGGGAAAGATTGTGGCATTATGGGGTGACTTATACTGGTGACTTATGGGGCCTCCCTGGTGGTGCAAGGGCTTAAGTCGCAGCACTATGAAGCTATCCACAGCTACTGCAGCACAGCAAGAGTTCGCTTCACGCCCAGGGAGCAACCCACATGGAGCAGCAGACCTCGCCTGTCTCCCCGCTGCTCCCCTCAGCAGACCTCGCCTGTCTCCCCGCTGTCTCCCTGTTCTGCTCCCCACTCTGCCTCTGGTGAATTCCACCCCCCCCCCCGCTACCTCTGGCCTGTACCCCAGTTCTTGTATGCATAAATAAATAAATCTTAAAAAAATGTACAATAGTCATTTATACTTTTGTGGTGGTTCCACCGTGGCCTTACTTCTGGATAAGCTTGCAAACCATACAGGGCCTGAAGCCTCATAACTTCACTGGTTGCTAGGATTCAAACTAGAAAAAGGAAGGAAAAAACCCTCCAGGAATAGCCAGAGGCATTGAAGTTTTCCTAAGAATGCCAACAATATTTAAACCTCATTTGTAAAGAGGGGATTCTTTTTGGAAAGAATGTTTCCCGCGGAGTGAATGTGTGCCAGCCGTCAGTGAAAGACGGTCGCTAATATGCTGCAGACACCTTTCCAATCTGTGTCCTTCGTACATCCGTGTCTCCTTGTTTTCACATGGGGAATTTGAACCCAGCAATTATTACAACAGCTGTTATAGTCTAAACCCCAAAATATTTTAGCAATTTAGAAATTGACTTGGGTACAAACTTAATAAAATTTACATCCTACAAACATTCCCACCTAGGTTGCGGGGACACTTCACCCTTCTGCACTGGTCTCGGATTTCTCAGGTGAACTCTGAGTTTTGGAGACGGCGTGGACTGTCCGCCTCCACTTCAGTGTCAGTTTTCTAAATGTCGCGCTGCAGAGGACCGCTGGCTGGGTGTGGCCGCTGCTGGTGACCTGCGGCCCCGCCCGAGAGCCCCGCTGGGGGTCTGGAGTGGAGTTCATCCTGGCAGGAACCTGGTCTCTTCCGGCTCCAGGGCAGAGGCGCCTCGCTGGGCAGAACATGGTGCTCCCGAAGTCAGGGCAGTGAGAATATATCCCCGTGACGGGCTGCTCTGGATGGGGAGCAGGAGGAGGACCCGGTCCAGGAAGGGCTGAGTGTTGAAAAATGGGGGGCTTTTTTGGATTCATCTTTGGGCCTTGAGGAACACAGGGGTCTGGGCAGCCCACTGGGTCAGAACATGCACTGCGAGGGGATCCCCAGGAGACATTGAGGTCGGTCACTGCTGTCCCCTGAGCACTGTGAGGAGAGCCATCTGCGTAAACGAGGTCAACATGCAGGGCCTGGCCCTGCAGCGCTCAATGATGCCCCCTGGGAAGGTGCCCCGTTTGAGACCAGTTACATCTTTGCACATGACGTAGATAAACTCCCCCCAGAGGAGAGTGACCACCAGCTGTCTCCTATACAGGCCACAAATAATGAATGCCCGCATCAGGGTGTCACTGCCGTAAGCCACGGGGCCCCTGATGTTGGGCGAGACACTGGCAGGGCTGCTCTAGCATGCTTCCCTCCAGGAGGCAGAGTTTTTAAGTTTTTGTTGTTTCTAAGGGTTACTTGCTGAGCTTTGTCTTAAAAAAAAAATCACAAAGAGTGACTGACAGTATAGGTAGGTTTTGGAGCTTTGAAGAACTACCGAGCCTACTGAAAAATTAGATTTATGACAATTACCCACAGAAGATCAAGACTTAATATATGGGACAAAGTACACTGAGGAGGATTTGTATAATGCTTAATAACTTTTAAAAAATATTGGCTTTTAATGTTTTGATTTTTTATCTCTAGAAAGCTTGTCTTTACACTGGGCTGTGATCTTAGCTGTGGCAATTTGCATCTTTTTATGTACAAACTAGAACATTTGTTTTTCTCTTTTCTCATCTCAAAAAACGTGTAGGTAGGCAATATTTGTAATTCTCAAGACAACATGTCTATCTTTGCATAACCTCCATAGGGAATTTTATTTATTTCTCCTTAAACTAGAAAATTAAAAACACGTTTTGTTACAAGGCTTTGATTGAAATTCTTCTGGGAGTAGAATTTGAGCTGAGCTAAGAAGATCTGAGCCAAGCAGAGCCTGTCACCCTGCTTACCGGGTTCCAAAGGCCTCCATAGAAGGGGAGGAAGCTTGTCCCCATTGGCAGGGCTGGGAAAACCCTGGAAGCTTTGAGAAGTGGAAATCGCAGGTGCTGTCTGGTAAGACTGTGACCTTGATTCTGAAGCCCGCACGGACTGGGCGTTAAAAGCTCACTCCAGGCCCGAGAGAGTTTTCAACAAAGCCAACAACATTCTGCTTGATTATTCGGCCCTATGGGTTGACGCAAATGTAGGTAAAATGGTTTAAAATTAGATTTGGTTTACTATTTTACAGAACTGGAATGAGCTAGAGAAAACCTGTGTCTCAGTAACTTTTCATATTAGTCTCTGGTCCTCTTCGGTGAGGGCTGTACCCTACACGTCATCTTCTTGAGGAAGGAGAAAGTTATCCCTGTTATATTTTGGGCTACGATCTGTTGCACACCTCACTGCTGCCACACCGCCGCCAAGGCCGTGACAGCAGGCGGGGAACTGCGGCACCCGCCAGTGCAGGCTGTCCATAGTAGCCCCCCCTCCCAAGACAACCCCATTCAGCAGGAAGCAGCCAGAAGGTGCGGCACCCCTTGCTACCATGGAAACGGAAGGTCATGCCTGGTAGTGGAGATGGATGCAGTGGATCAGGTCAGGTCTCCCTGCCGGCCCCACCAGATAAGCACTCCTCTGTCTTGCATTTCCCAAGTTTGTCCTCTTGCCGTCTAAGGAGAAGGAAGGACGTCCCTAAGAGGACGACAGGGAGTTAAACAGCAGGTGTGGACAAGGCAAGCTGGTGCCCGCCCGAACCCCGTATGCCTGCATCAAAAGGATGTGCCAACCCTCGCCTGCCTCCCTCTTGTTTGACTCCTTTGTATACACACCCCTGCCCCCTGCCAAAGGGCAGGGCCGGGTCTTTTACACACGAGTCTGCTGCCCTCCTCAGTTTCTCCACAAATTAAACTACTTTCCTTCTCTTCAAACTCCTTTTATTGCCTGAGGGAAAACGGTTGGAGCCTGGATCTGATGGCTGGATGGTGGTTTCGGCTAATGAAACCCAAGTCCGGGGCCCACAGGGCGGCCGCGCAACGGGTTTTATAGATTCACTGAGTGAAATTCCACTTCGTCTTGTAGACACGCTCTCGGGAGGGTTGTTTCAGACTGCATGAAATCTGAGCCGACTCTGTGTCCCACCCCCATGCTTGCTCACCCTCAGAGGCACCAGCAAGGATGCTCGGCCGTGCTCTCCAAAGCTTGGCCGCGGGCTGGGTGGGCGTGGGGAGCAGGCCTGCGGTGTGGCCCTGAGGCTGTGCCCTGCGCTGCCAGAGAGCCCTGGCAGGTAACTGACTTGCTTCTCACTACCTGACTTTCTTTCACTGAAGATGGTGGTAACAACAGTAACAAATAATAATACTTGACCCCCTAGGGTGAGAAGACAGCGCATCTAAAGTACTTTGAAACCCTAAAGAAACGCCGTGGCGTGACTTGAGAAAGATGGCAGCTTTCCGATGTGCTGCACCTCCCCCTGCAGTGACCTTTAGGGCTAATGGCTTTCGCCACGGTCCCTAGGTCCGGCTGGGCAAGGAACCAGCGCACAGGGGAGTACAGCAAAGTTCCCTGAAAACACAGATAAGACAGGTGCTTATCAAAAGATAAGGACCACCAGGAACCACTACAAGAATGCTACTACAAAAACCTTATCTCGCCTTTCTAGAACTACAAACTTTATTCCCTTATTGTTTTGTAAACTTCCTTCTTTCTTCTATAAAGGTCATTGGTTGTTAATTAAAAAATCAAGGCTGACTCCAATGAAACATTACTAAACCCTGTAATAATTAAAATATAGTTTAGGTAAAAAAGTAGTTAGTAAAACAAAAAATGCGATTATATAGTTGAAAAACAAAACTAATGGTCTATCTACTCAGGAACGCGGCTGGGTCCAGATGTAAATCACTGCCCTGTCAGTGATAAGCTAAACCCATGAGCAAGCGGATTTCGTTGATATTCACTGTTCCTGTGCTTTTAGAAAACATATATGTACTGGTCACCCACTCAAAGAAAATTACACTCAGATTTACACTCTCTCTTGAAGTGTGTCTGTTTGTCATTTCTTTCGCCGACGCCCTGACCACCCTGCACGCTTCTCTCAACCCTGAGACGGCCTCATCGTCTCCTGCTGTGCTGGTCCGCGGCACCGATGCACCACAAATAGCCAGTGCCGTCTAAGACGACAAAGTCCCGAGGGCTCTGAAAACGGGTTAGTGTAGAATGGCGCCACACGAAGTCTACGAGGAAGTCCCCGGCTCTCGGGCTTGCTATTGCAAATAAGCAGAAATGAAACCTGACAGAACAGGCGCATTTATCAAGACTGCTTAGAGCTGCTTTGGGGAAGCGGCCAGATTGCCATCGAGAACAGTACCTTTGTCCTGAGTGGAGCAGCTCAAAGCCCTTGTTGATGTCCTTGAAAGGCAGGACGTGGGTGATCAGCGGGTCCAGATCAAACTTCTTGGCCAGGAAGTCAGTCACGAGCTTCGGGACATCATCTCTGCTCTGCCAGCCTGCACAGAGACGCTGCTCCTTAGCCTGTGTCTTGCGTTTGTTCCTCTTCCCCGCGATCCTGCCTTCCCCACACAGGCCTGTCCTCACCAGTGCGCACACCAGTGCGGTTCTCCTATCTTGGGCAAGAAAGGCAAAAACACCCAGAGACCTTCCTCCACGGAGCTGCCGCCTCTCTGCCCCCGGTAGAGAAAGAAAGGTCTCAGTGTGCGTCCCCAACGCTAGGGCACTCAGCGCCTGCGGCCAGCACAGTGAGGGTGCCCTGGCCTGACAGCACACAGGGCCACGCCACTGCTCCCTCCACCCCGGCGTGGCCTGGGAGCTGCCGGGTGGACAGACTCCTCCACAGGGACGCAGGACAGGGCATGAGCTGGGCCTCCTCAGCCTGCGCTGTGACAGGGAGGGCGGGGCATGCGGGAGTCTGCAAGTCCCGTCTGGATGCCGTGGCAGTGCCCGCGTGCCCCGCCAGGCAGCCCCCGTGCTGAGAACAGACCAGTCCCCACGGCCGAGCTCGGGAGCACGAGGAGCCTCACTTCAGCGAGGAGGCGACAAAAACCAGGCCAGTAAATGCAGAGGGTGATAGCCGGGCAGGAGCACCGGGAGCAAGTGAGCAGCGTCAGGCCCAGGCCCAGGGCAGCAGGGCTGGCAGGGGTCCTGGCTACACGGCGAGGACAGCCTGCCTGGGAAGTAACACCTGAGCCCAGACACAGGGAAGCGACTCATCCGGAACCCCAGGGAGAGAATGTTGCGGGGAGGGCGCGGGCAGCAGGGGTGCGGGCGGCCCACGCGGGGAGGGTGGAGTCGTGGCTGCGGGGCGGGGCCGACCACGGAGGCCTTTTGGCCACTGCACGTTTGGGGTTATTCTGACTGAGAAAGGAGCCACAGGCCTGCTTTGGCTGCGTCCGAGGGGCTGCACCAGCTGCTCTGTGGGGACGTCCGAGGACAAAGAAGGGGGTGGTGGGACAGGCGGTCAGGCGGGCCCGGACCCTCGTCAGAGCACCCAGAGCATGTGCCGAGATGGCCACTGGGGCGAAAGACCGGGAGCGAGCTGGGGGCGAGCGAGGATGGGGACGGCCCTGCCGGCCCCACAGCCGCCTGGAAGGAAGACCTTGGGGGAGGCGGGGGCCCGCGGCTCCCCTTCCTGGCAGGGCCGGGCGCTGAAGCCCCTGCCCACCGCCCGTGCTCCTCACCTGCAAACACGCGCCCCTTCCAGGTGCGGCCGGTGAAGAGCAGCATGGGGTCGCAGGTGAGTTTCTGCAGGGCGGGCGGGACGCCCACCCTCACGCTGGTCCCGAAGCTCATGTGGCAGGAGGCCAGCGCGTCCACCTGGGGGCAGGAAGCAGACACCGAGCTGTCCCGTCTCCTCACGACTCCGGGATTCAGAGCACCGCGTGCCCTCACAGCTCCACCGGCTGCTCCAGTTCCCACATCGGAAAGGCAAGTCAGCCCACAAGCTGCTTGCTCTTGCCTTACAAACTCCCAGCAGGATCTCAGGCCGTCGCTAAAGCCACGTGCGTCCGCCCTGGAGCGGGAGGTGGGAGTTGCCACGCTCCCGCCCATGGACAGCCACGGCCATGGCCCGCTCCGTGGAGAAATCCTGTGGTATTTTCAAGCCAGTACTGTCTGAGCAGAACTAAATTGAGTTCCCCGAACTAAAGCAATTAAACCGGTTTAGTAAGTTTAGTAAGAAAATGCAGTAGTACAGGGCCTCCCCGGTGGCGCAGCGGTTGAGCGCTGGGTTGCAAAGCTGCTGCAGCCTCTGCAGCGCCGGTTCAATCCCCGGCCACCGGGCAAGGGATCCCGCATGGCGCGCAGACCTCTCCTGCCGCCCGCTGCTCCCCTCAGCAGTGTCCTTCGGTCCTTCTGCCTGCTCTGCTCCCCACTCTGGCTCTGGTGAATCCTCTCACCCTCCTGCGCGTCTGACTGTACCCAGTGCTTGTATAAATAATAAATAAATAAATAAATAAATAAAATCTTAAAAAAAAAAAAAGAAAGAAAGAAAATGCAGTAGTACAATGGTTGACAAAGGACTCCCATTTCTTGCGGGCGTCGCCGAGACTCAGTCCTGTTTCCTGACACCCCCCCCCCCAAATTTCTGGTGAGCTACTTTCGTCTTGGAATACTGCCCCGACTGTGGCCAGCAGTGATGCACTTTCCAGAGACCAGTGTCACCGACGTGCCGTCTGGAGAGCAAGAAACTGGCAGGGTGTGCGGGTCACACGCTGGCTCTGCAAAATGGGGCCTCCAGCACAACCCGCTGCTCTGGGGTGACTCTTGGGGGCACAGGGAGAGGGCTCGGTGACCATGGCTGGGAAGGGGTGCTCCCTGCTAACCCCACTCGGCAGCAGTGACCACACTGCCCAATGTGAGGAGGCGTGGCTCTTTCCGAGTGTCCTCACGGACGCCAGGCCGCGCCTCTGCTCTAGCTCAGCCCGTTCACAGCTCTGGAGAGAGGTGTCCGCTGGCCGCAGGGTGAAGACGCAGTCTGGAAGGTCCGAGGAGCTGGGTTAAGGGAATTCAGACAAAGGAACGCCCAGCCCAGGGCTACGGAGTAAAGAGTTGACAGAGTGGATCTGGGGACTAGACCCGTTACTCTGAAACAGCCCCTTCCCCGAGGCCCAGCCTGTCCCGCTCCTGGAGTCACTGTGCTCAGGGGCAAGAGACTGTGACCTCGGCCAGGAAAGCCAGCAGACAGGAGGGTCACACAGAGACTGCGGGGAGCTGGCCCCCGTCTGCCCCACTCGCATGGGGAGGGCAGCACGCTCCAGCCTGCCTGACAGGCGCTCCCACAGGAGGGGAGTAAGCCTGGCGCTGTCACAGGGCAGGGCGCCGTCACCCCCATATCGACCCTCACCATGGTCTCAAGACACCCGATGACCTCGAAGCTGTGGGTCACAGTGTTGCCTGTCATCTCCGCCAGCACCTCGCTCACGGGCTTGGCCGAGCCCCGGGGGCTGAGGCACTCAGTGGCCCCCACAGCCAGGGCCTTCTCAAACTTGCCTTTGTTGAGGTCGACCCCGATGATCCTGGCTGCGCCGGCCAACTTGCACCCCATGACGACCAAGAGGCCCAAGCCTCCCAGGCCGAAGACGGCACAGGTGGAGCCGGGGGTCACCTGCAGAGGGAAGGCCCTGTTAGTGCTGGCGGAGGGGCCGCACAGGGCCCCCAAGTCTCTCCGTGGTTGCAAACACAAGGTCGGAGGGACACTGTGCAGACACGAGAGCCGTACGGCGTTCCCAGGACGACGACAGAGCGCAGGGCAGGAAAACATCTGCGGACAGAGAGGAACAAAAGCTCTGTAGCGGTCCCATCACTCGGTCTCTGGTGGAGGCTCCGCCGCCTCTAGCCGCCCCCACCTGGCCCATCCCCCCGCAGGTGGACGAGCGCTCAGCCGGCTCCGGGAGGCCCTGCCCGTCTCTGGGGGTTTGCTCTGATGAGCATTTTCCCACGAACCAGATCTCATTTGCAGGCATGTTGTGTTGTCATTGAAGTTGGATGACATGGCTCGTGCGTGCTGGGGGACGCGCGCTGGAATCACCGTGGGTCCTGCCCCTGCCCCTGCTGCGGCCTGGGGGGAAGGCGCCTTCCCGCTGGGGGAGCCCCGGCCCTGCCCCACGCCTGGCAGCGACGCCACACAGGCCCAGCCCCACGTTTATTTTCTTTCTTTTTTCACGCGCAGGCTGTGGGACAGCAGGGCCTGCTTTCTGACCTCTTGGCTTTCGGGCCTTGTCCTCCTTTCTGGCAATTACGTGGAGAAGCAGCCTGTGCGCGAGTGTGTTTGTGTCTGAAACGTCCGCACGGGTGAGGGAGAGTCGCAGAGAACAGCAGGCGCCCGGGCCCTCTCCATGGCTCCTACACGCCGGCCACGGAGGCCCTCGGGTCACCCTGGATCTGAGGTCAGTGCTGTCGCCCTCCCAGGCGCCATGTGGCCACTGGTCACCGGCTCAGCAAATCCCTGATGGTCAGCTCTTTGCACCAGAAACAAAGCCGGAGCTCTGTGCCCTTCCTTCCGGTTTCGTTGCCAGCTTCACTGCTCAGATCTGAGAGGGAATGTTTTGTGGGGGGCTGAGTGTCAGGCACTGGACTTGGGTGCAGCTCAGGACCAAGCCCTGGTGTGGAGCCCCCTCACCAGATCTCAGACCCTTGAGGACATGGTGTGGCTCTCTAACCATCGAGGCCTCCCCCCTCCCGCCACCATCTCAGCCACTCTCTGGAAAGGGGCAGTTTATGGACCTCCCGTCGCCCTGCCTGAGTCAGTGGATCCAGTATCTGCTCACCTAGATGTTATTTTTACCCTAAAACTAAACAAGACAAACCAAAACAAAGCAAAAGCCATCTACGTCCCCCTCCCCGCAGTGCTCCTGATCTAAGCCGTGGGAGCAGGAGGCCCGGATGCGGAGTACATTATCCGTGGTTCCCTGTGGGGCTCTCTAGGAAGAACCCAGGCTTCCCTGCTCCCACGGTCTTCAGGCCCGGCGCTTAGGCGGCTCCTGGGGAATAATGTGAGGCCATGAGTGTGCTGTCTGAAGTGGGGGTCTGGAGGCCTGAGACCGGGGCCTGTGCCGGCGCCGACGCTCACGCTGCCATCCTCTGTGACACTGGGGCTCCGGGCAGAGGCCGCGCGTCTGGTGGTGGGGCCGCCACGCCTGTGGCTCCCCGCAGAGACCTGGGTGCGGGCGCGGCCTCCCTGCGCCTTCCTCATGTGTCATCTCGCACTGTGGTTGGCGAGGGGGAGCCGTCCCCGTGGTGCCGGGGGGCACACCCGGAAGCCGAGGCTGGTCTCTCAGGCTTCACCCCGCGGGCCGCTTTCTGTGCTGGCTTTAGTCTGCGTCCTTGTTCTGGTATAAACCACCACGACCACAGTAATTCTCCTGATTTCTATGACTGCTGCCAGCATCGCTGAGTCCAAGGGGGGGCGGCGGCCCGGACACATTCTCACATTGATTTGCCTTAAAATAGAGCCCCCGGGAAAAAGACCTGAGTGGAGGATGCCGTGGTCAGCAGGGAGCCCTCCCGGAACCAGCAAGGGCCGACACGTCCAGTACAGTGAAGAACATGAACATAAACCACATCTACTGTCTCTTCTTTCCCTTCTGTCTTGATAGAATATTCTTCGTGGGAAGTCTCAGGGAGACCCTGGGAAGGAACGCTTCATCTCAAGATTCTCCAGAGCCCCCCAGAAGCCTCTAGAAGCCTGGGTGAGTGTGCCGGTGTCACACGTGCACGGCTCAGGCTGCGCCTGGCCCCACCGCTGAGAGAAGTTCATCTCAACGCCCAGATGCCTATTTTTCACAAACACCCCCCACTTTTATCCTGCCACATATTTAGATCTTCTCTCCCTCTAGTCACTCATACATTTCCGCTTTCCCTACTGCCATTTATGAGGCCATGGCCCCCCACTCCTGGCTGAGCACCGCCAAGAGCAAGGAGCGTGTGTGCAGACCTCCCGGAGCGCACGGCTGCTGAAGACTGAAGACGCACTGATGGCCGGAGGCCCCGACACGCTGCCAAAGAACAGTCACGCCCCGCAAGCTACCGTATCAGCCTCAGTCTTTGCGAGAGAAAAAAAGATTCATTTCAGAGGCAAATTCAAATGTTGACAATTACACCTGAAGGAAAGGTGGAGGAAATAAAAGTTAAACCTAGAAATTTTATTTCTACTTATTTAAAAACAACATTTCCACTCCGAATTAAAAGATTTTCCTCCAGCTGCTTTGGCATCAAGTAGAAGGAGCCACTCTATGTTTTCAAAAACACTGTTGACTTCACAGATCCTCAGGAATCCAAGAAAATCATTTAAGAAGACAATGTAGGCGCCTGCCCGGGCCATCCACCTCGCCCCTTACCTTGCCAACTTTGACGGCAGCTCCGCAGCCCGTGGAAAACGCACAGCCAAGTAGACAGACCTTCTCGGGAGGCGCCGCAGCGTCGATCTTGGCCACGGATGCCTCATCCACCACGGTGTTCTCGGTGAAAGTGCTCGTGCTCACGAAGTGGCGCACGGCCTGGCCCCTGCACGTGAACCTGCTGGTACCGTCGGCCAGCACCCCACGGCCCGTGAGGCTGGGGACACAGCAGAGGCGCGTGTTAACCCAACTCAGAGTCAACCCAGGGACAGCTGAAGGGCAGGGGCGGGCAGGTGACGGGACCTACTCGCACCTGACGCTCGGGTTGCCCTCGGGTGGCGGCAGGCGCTGCATTCTCGGCACTGAGGCAGGAAGAGAGGGATGACTTGTCGCCTGGAGGGGTGTGACAGGATGGAACGTTACATGATGAAGCAACAGGCATATGAAAAAATGTTCACTGTCACTTGTCATCAGGGAAATGCAGATCAAAACCACAACGAGAGACCACCTTACACCAGCGAGAATGGCACGTATTTAAAAAAAAAACCACACAGGAAAACAGGAAACAACAAATGCTGGCGAGGATGTGGAGGAAAAGGAACCCTCTTACGCTGCTGGTGGGAGTGCAAACTGGTGCAACCTCTATGGAGAGCTGTGTGGGGGTCCCTCAGACTACTAGAAATGGAGCTTCCATATGACCCAACAATTCCACTCCTAGGGATCTACCCAAAGGACACGAATACACTAATTCAAAAGGACACCTGCACCCTTACGTTTATTGCAGCACCATTTATAATAGGTAAAACCTGGAAACAATGCAAGCGCCCCAAAATAGAGGACTGGATCAAGAAGATGTGGCAGACATATACCACGGAACATTACTCAGCAATCAGAAAGGAGAAACTCATGCCATTCGCAGCAACACGGATGGAGCTAGAAGGAATTACGCTCGGTGAAATAAATCAGAAGGCAAAAGAAAAATATGGATGGTTTCACTTATAGGAGGAATACAGGGGACCCAAATAAGGGACCAGGAAAAGAATAATTATAATAAAGTAAAAACCAAAATGAACAGGCAACTATTAATCAGAGACACTGCAGGGGAGGGGGAGGGAGAGGATCAAAACCGAGGCGGGAGTGATGGTGCCGGGGCCGTGGGGGTGGGAATTCGACGGGGCCTACACCTGAGAGGAGAAAGCACACACTGCACAAAAAGGCGTAACGAAGTAAAATATATATATAAAATAAAATAAAATAAAATTTTGAAAACGTGATGAAGTGAGGGTGGGCGGAGCCCGTCACAGCAAGTAGCCTCAGAGGTGTTCTGGCTATCAGCACCGAAGTGTTGCTCACTGCAGCCTGAGGTTTTGAAAAATCAAACTTGACTTTGCACAACCCATTGTCCTTGTATCCTTCTGTCCTACATTGTGTGAGGCCCCCTCCAGTCTCTGGTCACACTGTCCAGACAGAGAATCCTGTCCCACCTGTCCGACCTGTCAGACCTGTGCCTGGCACCACCCACCTGGCTTCACTGTGGTGACCCCTTCACCAGTATCCTCCACGACCCCTGCCGCCTCGTGTCCCAAGATCACTGGAAACTTGGACACCGCTGCTCCTCGGATCACGTGGTCATCTGTGCAGCAGATTCCTGTGGCCAAAATCTGTGTTCAAAGACAAAACCAGTGAGAACTGGGACACGGAAGATAAACGGGGGACGCCAGCAAACTGCCCGAAGAAGAAAGTGGCCATAAAAGAGGACTAGAAGGGAGGGAAGCGCAGAACCCTGCTCCCCTCCCCCGCCCACAGAGGCGGCACTCTCCGACCGGCAGAGAGGAGGAAAACAACAAACCAAAACGACCAACAAGAACAAACGACGCAGCAAGCAGGACTGTGAGTGGAAAGGAACTATTGCAGCCACCACACCCCGTGAACGGGAGCTGAGGCGAACCCTGCAGGATTCGCCGCGGCGGTGAGTGAACGGCTCTGGGCACCATTAGAGAAGAACAAAGACCCCGGGAGACGAGCACACAGCCCGGGCTGCCGGTAAGCCTGCGCGGAAAAGCGGCGCGCTCGGCGCGCTTGAAAAGAAAACGCGGACCGGGATCTCAGCGGCCCAGGTCCCCGCGCCTGCGACCTAGGCTTGCGGGGAGACGCGCGGAGGTCCTCACTGAGGTGAAGGTCCCTCCCTGAGTAAGCAGGAACCAGGCACCCAGGCACGGGAGCGGGGTGCAAAAGGCGCCATTCCTGCGCCGCTGAACTGGGCTACAGCCCGCGTCCTGGACCTGAGGGCTTTGAACTGAGACCCGGGGCACGAAAATTCGGGGCGTGGGTTCTCCACGACGGTGGGGCACAAGGCAGACACAGCACCCCAAAGCTGTTGAGGTTTACCCTACCATTCCCACTCTGTTCCCTGTCCCACGGGGTGGGGGGGGCGAAAAACAGCCCCCCAAGGACAATAGGAGAGATCTCTGGCGCCACCTAGCGACCAGGAAAAAAAAGTCACTAACACCCCATAGAACAGGAAATTTCTTAAGACTGCTTGAAAAGGGCAGAAGGCCTCTGGAGGACCCAGTGGCCAGCCAGGAAGTTAGCCCACCCCACGCCAGGCCCCTTCCGACCAGCAGTCTGAGCCCACAGAGGGAGCAGGCACCCACGTCCGGGGCAGACCGGGGGCGCAGAAGAGTGTGCCTGAAACCGGAGGCGCAGGGACTGCATCCCGCTTCGCCATTTTAGAACAGGGACATTTCTTCAGTAAAAACTGCCTAAAACCAGCAGAAAGCTCCCCCAGAAGACAGAGATGGCTCCTGGAAGAGCCAGAGGGGAGCGGAGAAGTTCACCCAAGATGCCAGTCAGTCCGAGCAACACAGTGTCCCAATGCATACGACAAATTAGAAAACATACAGTAGGGAGTAGAAGAACCACACGCAACCTAACAACTCCTCAGGAAAGAAGCACACCACAAAAAGAAAACCACTCCCCAGATTGCAACGACAGCAACTTGGAAGAACTTCTGAGCCTTCCAGAAAGAGAATTTAAAATTGCCATGATTAAAAAAGTGATAGATCAGAAGAAGGAAATAGAGTCCCTAAAGAGGGAAGTAAAAGAAATGCAGGAGATCAAAGATTAATGGAGGAACTAAAGAACTCTGGAAAAGCAATGAAAGCAGAATAGATGAAATGGAAGAATGAATAAGTACTCTTGAAGACACAAAAATAAAAAGAACCAAAACAGAAAGGAAAGAAGTACGAAGGAAAAAGAATGAAGAAAGACTTCGGGAACTATCTGACTCCATGAGGAAAGGAAATATAAGAGTTATAGGCATTCCAGAAGGAGAGGAGAGAGATGTAGGAACAGAGAAAATATTCCAGGAGATAATTGAAGAGAACTTCCCAAATGCGAAGAATGAGCTGAAAATTGATATACAAGAAGCAAGAAGAACACCAAACTTCCACGACGAAAGGAAAAAACACAGCAAGACACATAATAGTAAAGCTCCCAAGAATCCAGGACAAGGAAAAAATAATGAAGCTGACAAGAGGGAAGAAACAGATAACATTCAAAGGAAAACCAATCAGGCTGACATCAGACTTCTCTGAAGAAACACTACGGGCAAGGAGAGAGTGGAGGGACATAGTCAACAGACTCCAAGAAAACAGATGCCAACCAAGAATACTCTATCCCGCAAAGCTCTCTTTCCTCCATGAAGAAAGAATATGGACCTTCCCAGACAAAGAGAAACTCCGGAATTTCATTAAGACTAACCCCCACTCCAAAAAATACTACAAGGAATCCTAAAGCCAGAACCTCAGAGGGACGAATAACAACGAAAGAAGACCAAAAAAAAAAAAAAGTTATTAAAAGAATAAATAAATAAAATCAAAGGAAAGACAAACATAATGGCAAATACAGATGCTAACATATCAATATTAACTCTAAATGTAAATGGACTAAACTCTTCAATAAAAAGACACAGAGTTGCAGCCTGGATTAAGAAACAAAACCCAACCTTTTGCTGTCTCCAGGAAACACATTTAGCTACAAAAGATAAAAATAGTCTCAAAGTCAAAGGATGGAAAACAATCCTACAAGCAAATGGGCCAAAAAAGAAAGCAGGAACAGCTATACTTATATCAGATAAAACAGACTTCAAACTCAAAAAAATAAAAAGAGACCCCAATGGTCACTACATTATGATTAAGGGGACAATACTTCAAGAAGAAATAACACTCATTAACATATACTCACCAAACGAAGGAGCACCAAAATATATCAGACAACTGTTGTCCTCTCTGAAAACAGACATCAGAGAAAACACATACGTAGTGGGAGACTTCAACACACCACTATCAACAATGGATAGATCAACAAGACAAAAAATAAGTAAAGAAACTAAAGCTCTAAATAAGGACCTAGAGCATTTGGGCTTAACAGACATCTATAGAACACTAAACCCAAAAAAAACGGAGTACACATTTTTCTCAAGCGCACATGGATCATTCTCCAGGATCGATCACATACTGGGGCACAAGACAAACATCAACAGATACACCAAGATTGAAATCATACCAACCATCTTTTCTGACCACGAAGGCATCAAACTAGAAATAAATCATAAAAAGAAGGCAAGGAACTATCCTACCTCATGGAGATTAAAAACCACACTACTGGAAGACCACTGGACTAACGAGGAGATCAAAGAAGAAATTAAAAAATTCTTTGAATTGAATGACAAGGAGGACACCAATATCCTAAATGTATGGGATGCAGCAAAAGCAGTAATAAGAGGAAAATATATAGCAATAGAAGCTCACATCAAAAAACAAGGAAGAACTCAAAGAAACAACCTAATCTCGAAGCTCAAAGATCTAGAAAAAGAACAACAAAAAAACCCCAAAACCAGTAGAAGAAAAGAAATAATAAAAACCAAAGCAGAAATAAATGAAATTGAAACTAAAAAAACAATCCAAAAGATCAATGAAACCAAGAGCTGGTTCTTTGAAAAAATAAATAAAATAGACAAACCCCTAGCCAGGCTCACAAAGGTAAAAAGGGAGAAAGCACAAATAAACAGGATCATAAATGAAAGAGGAGAAATCACAATGGACACAGCAGAAATCAAAAGAATAATCAGTAACTACTATGAACAGTTATATGGAAACAAGTTCAACAATCTAGAGGAGATGGACAAATTCCTACAACTCTACAATCACCCAAAGCTAGATAAAGAAGAAATAGAACACCTAAACAGACCAATTACAAGCAGCGAAATTGAAATGGTAATCAAAAACCTCCCCAAAAACAAAAGCCCAGGACCTGATGGATTTACAAATGAATTCTACCAAACATTCAGAGACGAATTAGTGCCTATCCTTCACAAACTCTTCCAAAAAATTGAGAAGGAAGGGACAATACCAAACACGTTCTATGAAGCCAATATTACACTAATACCAAAACCGAATAAGGACAACACAAAAAAGGAAAACTATAGGCCAATCTCCCTAATGAACACTGATGCAAAAATCCTCAATAAAATTTTAGCTATCAGAATCCAACAATGTATCCATAAGATAATTCACCACGACCAAGTTGGATTCATTCCAGGGGCACAAGGATGGTTTAACATCCGAAAATCAATCAACGTTATCCAACACATCAACAAAAAGAAATATAAAAACCATATGATAATATCAATAGATGCCGAGAAAGCTTTCGACAAAGTGCAACACCCATTCATGATAAAAGCCCTTGAAATTTTTGGGATACAAGGAACATACCTCAACATCATAAAGGCCATCTATGACAAGCCAACAGCCAGTATCATTCTGAATGGTGAAAAGCTGAAAGCAATTCCATTAAGATCTGGAACAAGACAAGGATGCCCACTCTCACCACTGCTTTTCAATATAATACTGGAAGTCCTAGCCAGAGCAATAAGACAAGAGAAAGACATCCAAGGAATCCACATAGGAAAGAAGAAGTCAAACTATCACTATTTGCAGATGATATGATAATATACATAGAGAACCCCAAAATCTCCACAGAAAAACTAATTCAACTCATCAATCATTCAGTAAAGTGGCAGGATACAAAATCAACACGCAAAAGTCAGTAGCCTTCCTATACACAAACAATAAATCTGAAGAAGAAGAAATCAAAAAAACCATCCCTTTTATTATCGAAACAAAAAAAATCAAATATCTGGGAATAAATCTAACAAAAGAGGTAAAGGACCTATACAAAGAAAACTATAAAACACTGTTAAAAGAAATAGAAGACGACACAAAGAAATGGAAAGACATCCCCTGCTCATGGATTGGAAGAATAAACATTATTAAAATGGCCATCCTACCAAAAGCAATATACAGATTCAATGCTATTCCAATCAAAATCTCAATGGCATTCTTCAAAGAAATAGAACAATTATTGATGAAATTCATATGGAATCACCAAAAACCCCGAATAGCCAAAGCTCTCCTGAAAAAAAAAGAAGGAAATGGAGGCATCACACTCCCAGACTTCAAACTATACTACAAAGCCATAATCATCAAAACTGCATGGTATTGGAACAAGAACAGACATACAGACCAATGGAATCGAATAGAAAATCCAGAAATAAACCCACAGATTTATGGTCAACTAATCTTTGACAAAGGAGCAAAGACTATGCATTGGAGCAAAGAAAGTTTGTTCAATAAATGGTGCTGGGAAAACTGGGTCGCTACATGCAAAAGAATGAAGCTTGACCACTACCTCACACCATACACAAAAATCAACTCAAAATGGATTAAAGAACTAGACATAAGACCTGAAACCATAAAATACATAGAAGGAAATATAGGCGAAACACTACGGGATTTGCACATCAAAGACATCTTTACAGACACATCACCCAAAGCAGTGATAGTGAAGGCAAAGATCAACAGCTGGGACTACATCAAATTAAAGAGCTTCTGCACAGCAAAAGAGACAATAACAAAAACAAAGAGAAACCCCACCCACTGGGAGAACATTTTTGCACCCAACACTAATGATAAAGGACTGATCACAAAAATCTGCAAAGAGCTGATGAGACTCAGCAACAACAAAGAAAATAATCCAGTCAAAAAATGGGCAGAAGAGCTAAAAAGAAACTTCTCTGAAGAGGAAATGCAAATGGCCAACAGACATATGAAAAAATGTTCAACATCACTTGTCATCAGGGAAATGCAAATCAAAACTACCATGAGATACCATCTCACACCAGTGAGAATGGCACATATTAAAAAAACTAGCAACAACAAATGTTGGCGAGGGTGCGGAGAAAAAGGAACTCTTCTGCACTGTTGGTGGGAGTGCAAACTGGTCCAACCACTGTGGAAAGCTGTATGGAGATTTCTGGACCTACTAAACATAGAGCTTCCATAGGATCCAGCAATTCCACTCCTAGGTATTTACCCAAAGGACACAGAAACATCAATTCCAAAGAGCACCTGCACCCCTATGTTTATAGCAGCACTGTTTACAATAGCTAAGCTTTGGAAACAGCCCAAATGCCCAAAAATAGATGACTGGATCAAGAAGATGTGGTCCATATACACCATGGAATATTACTCAGCATTCAAAAAAGATAAACACATGCAATTGCAGCAACATGGATGGCGCTGGAAGGATCATGCTCAGCGAAATAAGCCAAAAAGGAAAAGAAAAATACCGGATGGTCTCACTCATAGCAGGAATCTAGAAAACCTAAATAAGGGACCAGGAAAATGAATATAAGAAAGTGAAAATCAAAATCAACAAAAAACTATGAACCAGAGACACTTTTTGGGGGGTGGGGGGCGGGAGGGGAAGGATTGGGGTCAGAATGGGGCGTTTGCAATTGTATGGGGGAATATAAAAATAAAATTTATTATTAAAAAAAAAAAAAAAACAAAGACAAAACCATTGCACCACCCAGCAGGAAGGCTGCTGCACAGCTGGGAGGGCACTGAAATCACGGGTGAGGGGATTACAATAGCTTATTCAGCACAGTTGCCTCAAAATAGGGCGGACTCGGGTTCTGAGCCCTGCATCAGCCGCCTCTGCCTCAGGCTTTTCTGGAATCACTGGGCCCTTGCAGGGTCCCGGAGCCGTTGCTGCCACGGCCGGCACAGTGAGGCCTCCCAGGCCTCTCTGAGCAGGCGAGTGGAGCTCAGGGGCCCAGGGAAGGGCAAGGAGAGATGGGCAGCCACGCCTGGTTGGCAACCCGGTGTCCAAACCACCACTGTCCAAAGGATCAGGTTGCTCCCCAGGAGGCTGTCCAGGCACAAAAGCACACGAAGAGTAACATCAACACTGTCTGACTCCCAGAGGGCTTCCAGAGAAGCCATTAGTCACACGGACTGATTCTTTAAATAAAATAAAAAACAGTGTCAATAGGAATTCCAAATGAAAGTTTTCACACAACAGGTCAGCAGTGTGGATTTTTTTTTTTTTTTAAATAGAGGCATGTTTTATTTATTTATTTATTTGTTTGTTTGTTTGTTTTGTTTATACATGCACTGGGTACAGTCAGAAGCGCGGGAGGGTGAGAGAATTCACCGGAGCCAGAGCGGGGAGCAGAGCAGGCAGAAGGACCGAAGGACACCGCTGAGGGGAGCAGCGGGCGGCAGGAGAGGTCTGCGCACCATGTGGGACCCTCCTCCGGTGGCCGGGGAGCAGCCGGGGATCGAACTGGTGCTAAAGAGGCTGCGGGCAGCTTTGCAATCCAGCGCTCAACCGCTGCGCCACCGGGGAGGCCCAGCAGTGTGGATTTTTAACGGACAACGGTATCCTGACCTTCGTATCCAGCATGGCCAGAGGCCTGGCAGTAAAGAAGAACCAGTAAGAGACTCAACATCCAAACTTTGGGAGACATGTCCCTAGGGAGGACCCCAGCCTCGCGGCTGCAGGTGAGGTGGCTTCCCAGGCGCACGTCCCGCACGCTCTACCTTCATGCAGACTTCCTCGGCCTTCGGCGGGGCCACTTCTATGTCCTCGATGGAAAGGGGTTGCTGCTGCTCCCATAGCACAGCTGCTTTGCATTTACTCACCTAAGAAATCGGTGAGAGTTGGCACAGGTGCCCAGTACAGACTCCCCCAACAATGTGAATGCCTGCAGGAGTCAGGTCTGCGAGGCTAAGAGGGAGGGGAAGGGAGAAGGGTCAACAGGGGTGTAACGGATGGCGCTGGGGGGAAAATGTCCAAAGAGTCACGAGCATCCATTTATAAGAAAAGAAAAACGAGAAGAAAAATCACCGGCAGGCGAGCTCGCACTGGTCTCATAGTGGGATCTCACAATCTCGGCAGGTCTCACAGTCTCACTTGCCCAGGGGCATTTCCGTAATTCACAGGCCGTAGCCCTTCGTGATCACCTTGTGCCCCTGTGTGCTAGACAGGAACAGGCCGCCCGGAGGGACTCGGGCATCACGGCCTAGACTCCAGATGCCATCGTCCTCATTCTGGAAGCCGCAAGGCAGGCTGGCTGCAGAGCCAGCGCGGCCCCTGCGAGGCGAGACAGCCGCGTGCCCGCTGCCGGCAGGAGACCTGTGTTGACCCACCAGCAGGAGGAGAAAACGCCAGCACTAACACCAACTCTGTTTTTGGAAAACACACCCAACCTGCCGGCTCTTCTGGTTTGTAGATTTTGCAGCTTGTACTCTCCTCCACCAGCTGCCCCCCTGCACCCGCGTCTGTCTCCACCCGCGCCCCGGCGCTCACCCCGGGGTCCCCGCGCGCCCGCTCCACAGCATTCCTGCCCAGGAGACCCCCCAAGTAGCCCCGTACTCAAGCTCTGGGCATCGGCCCCCACCGCCGGCCGTGAGGAGAGGAGAGAACGTGCTCTCACCTCTCCGGCGGGGCCCATCCGTCCTCTCCTGGCTTCTGGCTTCTGGAAGGGGCTTTCCTGCCTGATAAGCGGCCTCTGCGCTTCCAGTAAATGGTCTGCGTCTCGGTCCAAAGCTCGTCCCTGAGGGACGTGACTCAGCTTCACGCTTGCCGGGCCAAGAGCCCCCCCGCAGATCGCGTTGCGATGAAGCAGCCGAGTAACTCGTCACATGAGGCGCAGACGCTCACAGCCAGCTGGTCCCGCCCGGGCCGCGCCGCAGGGCTCCGCGTCGGGTCAGCCGTCTCGGCCAGCCATAGCGGGGCTCTGCCCGCCTCCGCGCCGTCCTCGGAGGACCCTGTCGCCGCAGAGCAGTTAATGAAGCACCGAGGACGGCGGCGGGGAGGGCGCGCACATGACCTTGGAAGAGAAGGTGAAGGTCAGCAGCGGGACGGGAGACGAGGACGGCTAACTGCAGCCCGCAGGAGTCTGGTGGGTGGAAGATCAGGACGCGTGTTCCCGACAGGCAGCCAGGGCGCCGGGCCCACTGGGCCGGCACGGGCGTCGCCGGGGGCTGAGGGGCCTGCGCCAGGCGGGCCTGCACGCGGGCGGCCAAAGGCCAGAGGGCTCCGGAGCGCGGGCAGGCGCCTCTGCAGAAGCGGAACTTCACACCGTTTTCGACCTGTGGGGACGCTGAGCCTCCCGCCGAGCCAGAGGTGTGACCGGGAGAGACGGGAGAGTCCCACACCCACCGGCTGTGCTGCCAGGACAGAGGCCAGGGGAGGCTCCCGGAGGTCTGCCTGGCAAAGCAAGTCAGTGGAGGAAAAGCGGGGAGTCACTGAGCCCGGTCTCCCGCCAGAGCAGCCGGCCGGGGCAGTGCAGGCTGCGGCCGGGGGTGGGGGTGGGGGGCAGTGCCAGCCGCGGCCAGGGTGGGGCAGTGCCGGCTGGCCAGCCGGGGAGGCCTGACTGGCTAGAGGGCGGCAGCACTCCGGCATCTCCACCCAGCGTCCCCTCAGAGGAAGCCACGTTCCCCGCCGGTGGTCCCGATCACTCCCAGGGCGTACCCAGTCCCGGGACAGGGCGGGTAGTGGTGGCGGGGCAGGTGTGAGACGATGGCACAGGAGCTTCTGCTCCAAAAGGCTGAGACGAGCAGAGTCAATGATCTTTCCCCTCAGCCGAACAGCCCTGCACTTTATACAGACGTGAAACACGATGGCAACACACGGCCACTCCTTAATTACGTCTGAGTACGTGCCTCCCACAGACACACACATGCACACCACACACACACGCACCTCACGCACGAATACACACACACGAGACTTACATATCCACCCCCCACGTCACACTCACATAATCACACTCACACTACAGACACGCAATGCCAACACATACCACCCAGCACGCACACACCCAGCACACACAAATACATACACACACACACACACAACCCCCCCCAGCTCTCACTCACACACACTCACACCTTCACAGACACACTGTAACATACAGACACTCTCGCACACAGGGACACTGTCCAAATCCCCCGAATGCCCAGAGTCCAGTGTCCCTGGTGTGGCGGCTGACCGAGGGCACCTCGTATACACGGCACACGCTACATACCACTGGGACACCCCCCTTAGCAGGTGTGACTTCCTTACCCCCGGAGCCGGGGGGAACAATGGCTGAGTCCAGCGAGGTGGAGACATGCCAAATGTTGAGCCTTTTACTCCCGGGACCATTCAAGAAAACAGACTCTGCCCTGGCATTGCTGTAAACTGGCGCGTGCCCTGCGGAAGCATCACCACTGCTCCTGAGGATTATAATTCAGAAATTTAAGTCACGAGTGCGCTGAAAATAAAAGCATACAGAGGCCCTGGGGGTCCCCTGGGGGCTGACAACAGTGAGCTGTGGGCACATATGGGACCCCACGGCTCCATCCTCAGTCCTTGGGCAATTTTATGACTTTTTCTAACTATGTCACTTAATGTTTCTCTGTGACTTAATTAGCACTGGAGTGTGGTCGCGACTGTTGAGCGTGTCACCAGCACGGGCACCCTGGCCACTAGAGCAGAGTGACTGAATTCTCCAAGCCCATCCTGTCTCCCTGCGGGTTCCGGGCTGCTCTACATGTGGTCACGTCTGCAAGGGACGTGTGCCACAGGCAGCACTGTGGGAAGAAGTAGCAGAGTGACTGGAATTCTCGTCCTTTTTCTCGTTCTCGTGCACGTGACTCAGCTCTACTATCTGACCAGTCCCGTCCAGCTGAGGGTAGAGCTCTGAAAGGATTGGCTGGTGGAAGGTTCTGGAACTCAGGTTTCCCAAAGGAATGTTTCTGTGTTGCTAAGCTATGCAGTACCTACAACAGGGAGCCGCAAAGTCTCCTTGGAGCGGGAGCAGGAGAAACTGGGGCAGAGCTATCTGGTATACGGCAGTCGGCAGGCTGTCTCTGCCAGTCGGAAATCCCAGCTCGGGCGGGAAGACTGACGGAGCTCGGGGACCCGGGGCGTAGGCCTGTGCTGAGGCCTGGAAGGCGTCGACAGCCTTGAGTTCCTGCCAACCACGTCACCTCTTGAAACTGTCCTCAGGTATAAAGTAAATTCACCAAAAAGATAATTTTCACAAAATTGAAGTTCAGATAACATACCTCACACTTTCATCTTTTCAAGACATAAAAGCCAAACAGGTCTGCTTTGAGGGAAAAGACAGTATTTTGGCTTAGTTTGGAAGAGATCATACAAATAAAAACCCTACACGTGTGGGGTAAAGTCATCTTCTGTGCAAAACACTGACCTTCACGTTAAGTAGCTGTTGCACAGACAATGTGCCGGGTGCCGGGAACACAGAGGTGGGAAGCCGGGTCAGATCATTCCTGCCCATTGCCGCCTGCTGGCGGGGACAGAAAATACACAGACACGCAAACTCTTGTCAGGGAGTAACACGCTCCGTGGAGGGAAGGAGACGGGCAGGCGGGAGGAAGGTGAGAGCGCCTTGGGGAGTCTCCTCCAGACAGGCAAGGGAGGAGCCGGGGGTCAGTCTAGGGTCAGTCTAGGCCCGGCGACTTGAAGATGCAGAAAAGCTCAGCATCCACCACGGAAACAGCAGCCTTTCCATCGCAGGGTCACAGCCCCTGCAGCTGCGCCCTGACAGGCCTGTCCTCTCCGGAGCCCGGGGAGTGGGGAGAGCCCTCTGCACCGGGGGCTGGGCCTTCTCTGCCGCGCAGTCTCCACGGTTTCCAGGCGAGTCACTGAACACAGGCCATGGGACACAGAGGGCTCTGGCTTAAAAGACAGTCAGTGAACTGACTGAAAATATCTGCCCCAGAAAAATTTTGAGGTCAGGTTCTAGAACAGAAATGTTTTTTGACACTGCGAATTCTGACCAGAGAAACTGGAAAGTTACAAATAGAATCTGCACATCTCAGGGCGGCCACGAGGACGAAGGCCAGACGCCCTTCCTGAGTTTCCAACCTTGTGTGCCGCCGTCGGGGAAGTCTCGGGAACTGTCCTAGGCCCAGGTCAGGAATGCCCTTTACCACACGACTGTGAATTCCCGGGAGAGGCAGGACAGCACCTCGAGGGTGCAGGCCCGTCACACTGCAGGGTCTGGCGAGTGCTGCTGAAGGACCCACATCACCCGCCAACCACCCATGGGCGCCCCGCGAGAAACGCTGGCCTCGCGCTAACTGGCGCTCTGCGGTTTCAGGGCCTGAGAGCGTCTGGGCGTGCAGGTGAGGAGGAGGAGGGCAGGACCGGTCACCGCGGCAGCGGGAGCAGGGCAGCAGCCTCCAGGAGCACCGGCCTCACCCCCAGGCCCGCGCCGCCGGAGGGCAGAGGCGGATGGCTGGAAATGGGGGCTACTTCCTGGTCCGGCACACCCCTCACCCCAGGAGGGTCTGCCACATTAAAGGTACGTGAGGCAGGGCCCAGAATGGGTCTTTCTTCTTCTCACTTGGCTGCTTGGTGGCTCTGGTGGTCTCAGCCTCCGGAGGCGGGCGCTCACCACTGGGCAGCCACGCGGGGCTGGGAGAGCAGGGCTGGGCAGAGGCCTCACGGTGCAGGTCCCGGATGCCTCAGGGCAGCCCAGAGTGGCCAGCGCTTCAGAGCTGCACACAGAGGCGCCCCCAGCCACTCCCAGGGTGCGAGACTCCGGGGGCCTGCGGGGCAGGAAGGGCCATTGCTCTGGAGGCAGGGGTCTGGGATGAAGCTGCGTCCTGAGGGCGACCCCGGTGGGGTGAGTGCCCCACAGCACCCTGACCGTGACCGCTGCGGCTTCTGACCAAGGCTGGCTTTTAAGACGACGACAGGCACCAAATACACTCCCGCCCTGTGAGCCCCAAAGGGAGGACGGTGAGTTTTCTCACCACTCTCTGCAGTGGCCCGAGGAGGGGTGTGCGGGGCACCGTCCTGTGTGTGTGGGGGGTTAAACTACTCCGGGCACGACGCAGTTTGACGTGAACAGTAGACATTCGTGCTCTCCCGAGCCAGCGAGCAGCGCGGGGGCCAGCAAGCGGCTCACTCCATCAGCCCGGCTGCGAGGAGGAGCTGGGAGGCCGTCGCAGACGGCAGAAGGCAGGGCCAGCTGCGTCTGCCTGTTACGCAGTCGCTCAGCAAACTGTTTCAGGGCAGCCACGGGCCAGCACAGAATAGACCCGCCTGCGCGTGGCCCCTCTGGGCGTGGGCGGCCCGTGTGCGCACAGGCGCGGGGACGTGCCCCTCGTGGCCAGACAGCGAAGGAGCCGAGGGACAGACAGCGCTGCCAGCGGGACCCTCCTCAGCTCGTCCGAGACAGAGGGTTGGGCCAATGTCAGAGGGAGGGTTTGAAGAATAGGCAAATGAACACTTTCCAGAAGCTTCCTGGGAAACCAGCAGTCACCTACGAGCTCTGGCAGCTGAGGTAGGGCAGCTGTGCCAAGCAGCCATTCTGACACGGGCGCACTGACCCTGACGAGAGGAACTGCTTAGAAGTCAGCATTTGGGCCAAAAGCACAAACACAGCTGTTGCCTTGAGTGAAGAACCAGAGGCTCTGACCTGAGGAAGGCAGTTCCTCCAGGCCGGCGCTCCCCTGGCCTCAGTGTCTCCCGTTCCTAGTCAGCAGCGCCTCGCCTTCTCCCAGGAGGCAAGAAAAGCCAGGACATGTCCTCCTGGCGTCCTATTCCACTGACAGCTTCTGAACGATTTTATAATCCCCGTCTGGGCCCCCTGGTGGCCTGGGGGTCAGTCTCAGGCTGTCACCACGGCATCCTGAGTCTACTCCCCGGCCAGGGAGCGACCCACAGGGCGCAACAGACCTTTCCTGTCTCCCTGCTGCTCCCCTCAGCAGTGTATTTCGGTCAGTCTGCCTGTTCTGCTCCCCACCCTGTCTCTGGTGAGTCCTCTCACCCCCCACACCTCTGGCCTGCGCCCCAGCTCTTGTGTGCATAAACAAATCAATCTTCAAAAAAATCCCCATCTGGTATTCTGAGGGTGAGCAGGCTGCCTCTTGGCTTCCCCCATGGGTGTGGAGCTGGGGTCGCGGCAGCTCTGCCCATGCGGGGTGTGGCCTGCTTCTCCCGGGGAGCAGAGGGCAGAGTCCAGGAAGCAGGCCCTGGCTTCCTCCGCTGGGCACCGGCGGCTACAGCAGCAAGTCTGACGACTTAGGTACATTTAACAATCTTTGGCAGGGAAGTTCCCGATCATTCAAACAAAAAGATTCTGCCCCAAACCCATCTGCTTGGTCCTCACATCGCCCGTGTCCGCGCAGGTCTGAATAACATCCCGATCTGCACCGTGAACGACGACGAGGATGACGCACTCAGAGCGCTGTGGGGGGCCGGCCAGTTCAGCCACTTGGAGAAGAGGGACACCCCACTCGCCAAGTGCAGCCCCCCCAGCTCCGCAGCCCCAGGCAGCGCCACCCAAAGGGGGCCCCCCACCCCGCGGGGCAGCAATGTGCCTCTGCGGCCTCATTCTGGTGAGTCTTTCCCACTGACGACGCCGTCCCGAGGTCCCCGGCCGGCCGCCAGGGGGAAGAGCTGTGGAGCCGTGACTGAAGTGCCGGTGACATGTGCTCACTGTGAAATAGGTTACCCTTTAGAAACAAATTCCACTCAACTAATCGTTAGTCAGCAGCTCCGTAATGTTAATAAATATTATTATTCTTCTTCATCGGGCCCAAGACATCTGGTGTGGTCTCTCGTGCCCGCAAAAGCAGCTGAGAGACAGGAACGCTTAGGCCACAGTGATAAGGCACCCACTTCAGAGAGAAGCGGGGGGACACGTCCCTGAGGGGGGCACGTCATACCGTGATGGCCATTGTGCCCGCCACGGCCAGCCCTGGTGGCCAGAGCCGAGTCTGCCGTGGTCTGGCTATTCTGGGCGTCGCCCGATCCCAGCACAGTGCCTGGTCTTCAGAAAGCACCTAGAGTGATTATTTTGACAGAATTGAAATGAAAAAGATTTCATCACACACAGAGTCTGATGACTGCAGTGAGCAATGCTGGGATGTACACGTGGAGCTGCTAAGAAAGCAGATCTTAAAAGGTCTCATGACAACGACGCGTGTACGAGGTGCGGGACGGGTGTTACCTACACTAACCGCGTGATCATTCCACGAGGTCTCCCCCACATTCTCTGTCGCCCACCTTCACCACCACAGTCCTTTTAAAAAGCACACATGGCAACAGGCACGGGGCGAGGACAGAGGGAGGCCGTCTGGACGGCAGGCCTCACCCGGCTCTCACGCTCACCCTCGACAGCGAACAGCTCTGGGCACAGAACGTCCCCTGGCATGATGAGAGATGCGCACCTCCCAAGGACGCCTCGCTGCGTGACCCCACCGTCAGGCCGCACGCTCGCCCGCCGCTCTCCCTCTCAAGAGCCCCTCCTTCCCCACCCACGCGCAGTGGACGTTCACGGCTCACGGCGCCTTCTCCGTGCCCTGCCGAACACATCAGCTGGGTGTGTGTATGTGGACACACTGAGACGCACATGCCTTATTATAACCCTTTACTACGTAACTCGGATCCACCTGCCAGCTTCTAATGTTCATCAGCAGATCCCTGAGCCGGCCTTGCTGACTGCAGACACACTCTCGCCTAGCTCAGAAACTACTGTATCAGTATCTGTCATGACAGGATTTTTTTTCAGTTTGGTCTAAAGATGCTTGTCCACCTATCATTTCAGAGCCCTGGAGGAAGATCCAGGAGTGCTTCCGAACTTCCAGTGAAAATCCCTTAGTGATTAATAAGGTAAAAACCACTTCTCACAGCTACCTATCTAGTTTGATATTATTTCCTCTCCTTTTCTTGAACTTCACCTTCCCCGTGTGTCACGATGTCCTGCAAAGCTTTACTGATATGTAGTGGACGTGCTGTGGCGTGCATACACCTGGGAAACCCCCGCAGAAATCAAGGCAGGACCCCGCCTATCAGGCCCCCGGCATTCCTCACAAGAGGCCCCCGGCCCCCACCCCCTCGCACCATGCTCACCCCGACCAGCACGGCCCCAGGCCTCTGACACACCAGGCCCTGCCTTCACGCCTGCTCACTGCCGAGGGACAAGGCTTCCCGCCAGCGGCAGCCAGCCCGAAGGCTCCTGTCACTCTTCTTGGACCCAAAGCTCCTACAGTCTTTTCCTTTTTGATTGCGACAGTGACTTACCTCCCAGAGCGAGAGAGCAGCCTTTCTTTCCTTCTTCCGACGAGCCACCTCTCCGGCTCTCCTGCTCAGCTGCCACTCAGCAGAGCAAAGCGGCCGCGGCCCTCACCTGACACACGCATCTGCCCCCCGCAACAGAAAGTCTCGGGTGTCGTGAGCTGGTTGCCCACTAGCGCATCAATATAAATATTAAATCTTGATACTAACTAAGGGTTTAGGTTGATTTGCCCAAAGGAAATGACAGATGACTGTGTTTTGTCTCCAAATGCAAATATCCGATAAGCAGATTTCAAGGGAGGATTAAAGTTAACCTCTTCACTCCTACGTGCGTCTCTCATTCAGCTGCACAAATTCTCATTCATTTTATATTTAATTTTCCCGGGGATTGTAAGTGCCTGCACATGCTTACCGATTGCATTTACCTTGGACTTAGGAAGAAATGAAGGTCGGGACTGCCGAGTCGCCTCCCCGGGCCAGCTCCACGACTGCCTCCTGCGGCTCGGAGGCTCCGGACGCCAGGGCCGCCAGGGCCGCCAGGGCCGCGGCCGAGGACTGCGTGCACATCCCCAACTACCTGCACCAAGAAATCAAAGTAAGGGCAGGTCTGCTTGGCTCTGCCTGGGGAGCAGCACCCACACATAACCATGACCGCGCCGGCACCCTGAAGGGGGTGCTGATCCCCCCGGCCGAGTGAATAGCAGGAAGTTGAGATCCAAACCTTTGCCTATTCTCACTTCCCGTTTACTTCTTCCCGGAACCCCGGTCCTCTTACCCAAGCGCAGCCCTGGCTCAGACCGACTCAAGAGCTCGGTGCTCGCCTGAGAACCTCAGCCCCACTCTCTTCCGTCTCGATCATCTTCCTAAAGCCGGCACCTGCCCCTCGCTCCCGCCGTCGCCCACACATCTCCTCCAAGTATCTGAAGGCAGGATTCCTCCAGTGACCGCCCCCTCCATCTGTGGAAGGCTGTCCTCAAACCTTCTGTGCTTAAGGTTATACACTTAGATAAATCGACAGTAAGATGTCATTTCAGACTCAAGGGAGGTTCTCTCCAGCCACAACTGTTCCTGCGAATCCCATATAATCAAGAACAAACCCATCAGCTGCTGCTCCATGGTTATTTCACCCTAAGACCCACGACAATTAAGCGTCAACATATTTTAACAGTAACTGGAGCAGGGGTAAGGCAGCCGTGGCAGTGGGATTAGCCACTCACAGCACCCAGCAGCCTGTGGTAGGAATGACAGGCCGCGGAGCGTGACGGGAGGGTAGTTACTAAATGTGAGAGCAGAACGTGATGGTGGCGGTGGCTGAGAGGCAGAGTTTGGGAGGGGACAGAGGCGAGGAGGAGGGCGAGCCTCTGGCATGGCCGGCGGTGCTGCCGGAGATGCCAGGCTGCATGGGCTCTGGGGCCGGCCGCCAGCACCCCGCGGCGCCACCGCCAGTCTGCCAGTCGCTCTTTGCCGCCTCCGGGCGTCCCTCGGAAGAACCCTGTCCTTGGTCCCCAGGGCTCCCTTCTCATTCAAGTCTCAGCTTAGAGGTCACACACGGGCCCTTGCCCAGCGCCCCGGCCTCCACGCCCTCACAGCGGGGATTTCCGGCCATTTCTGCGTGTTCCTGTTTGCTGCATTACTATCTATCTCCCACCCACTTGTGCTAACATTACTTTATACACTGTCATGATGTCTGCCTGCTTACTGCTTTATCGCCAGTGCTCAGGCACTGCTAGGTGCTAGGAATTATTTAGGGGTTATCAAATGTAGACTAGAGAAGTGCTACCAAGGTCAAGGTGGGACTGCACAGCGTCAGCCGATGACCAGGCCTCAGCCACCGCTGGGCGCAGCTGTCAGACGGCGTCTTGCTTCGGGCCACACGGAGCGGACCTCGGGCAGACGTGGCAGCTTCCGAAGGCAGCGGAGAGTCTGGAGTTTGGGGACACTGGGGACCGGAAATCGCAAGATAAGATAGCAGATGAGGCAGATACATGCAGAGCGCGAGTCCCACCAACGTGCGTGGGGCTGCAGGCCGCAGCCCAACACTAAGGTGTGCACGCAAAGGGGAGCCGAGACCCAGCAGTGACGGGGGTAGTCGGGGCTCACAGCTGCCCGAGCAGACAAACCTCGCCGGAGTCAGCCAGAAATCAGGCGAGACCCTAGAAGAAGCTGACCTAAAAAAATCACAAGAACAGGGGACCCCAGCCCTGTGCTCGCAAATCCTGAAATCAAGTTTCAACAGCTGACACTCACCTGCCAATCTATGCGCCACCTTCTGGAACAAAACTCAAAGGAGAACGGGGCTGTCCCGGGGACACACTCTTCGTGCTTTCTCCAAAAGGATGAGCACATGCCCCCTACGGAGCGGCTGGCCGGTGACGGCACGCTGAGAAAGCCTTAGAGGCGCGAGGCTGAGAGGCTGAGGGGCGTGGGGGTTCGTTTCCTGCCTGTTCCGTGGCCACAGGTCCGTTGTGGAATCAGGAGCAAACCACTGATTTTAATCACTCTCCTCCTGGACACAGTGTCCTGGAGGCAGTGATGTAACACGGGCACAGATTTCGCTGTTTGAGATCTGGCTTCCTGGCTACCATCACAGAGGGCAGAACTGGGTGTCGCGTTCGGTGAGGGGACAGCGAGAAGGTGCTGGGCCCGCGGGCGCCGGTCTACTGCTCTCCTAACTCTCTGCTCTCTGTCAGATACTGGCGAAGCTCTGCGACATTTTAAACACGGATTCTCTGGCAGACGTTCTACAGTGGCTGCTCCACGCAAGCTCAAAAGGTGAGATTAAAGGCAGCCTTGCTAAGCGTGAGCTCGGGCTACCGTCACAAACTAGTTCTTGGATTTGCAAAGATGCTGCTGTCACCGACTTCCTGGCGTCAGCGCGGCCACCGCATCCTGCATCTCCAACAGCCCGAGCTGTGGGGCAGCTGAGCCCCGGCCAGGGCTGGCCGCGTGTCTCCCACACACGGGCCAGGGGCGCCCCCTGGTGCAGAGCGCCGGGAGCGCAGCCCCGTCCCGGGCAGGGCTTTTTAGTTCTCTTAATTCCCCACCAAAACATCACCCCAGGCGAGTCTCAGCGTCCTCGGCGCCCTTCCTGCTGTTCCATGGAAACATACGCAGCCCCAGTGGAACAGCCCCCCCAGCAGAGGGCCGTCTTCGGCCCAGTCTTCATCAGGAGGTGGGGCCTGAGCATGCTGAGCTCCCAGGGGAGGCCTGCTGGTGCGGGGCGCTGGGAGGGTTAGGGACCACGTGTCGAGGGGGGCACACTGTGGCTTTAAATAACAGGGAGCACTTGGGGGACAGTGCTTGACGCCCTGAATTCACGACTCTTTGGCAGGAAAGGGAGAGATGTCCGGGTCTCACACGCAGGTGTATCTGTTCTGGCTGCCTTCCTGGCGGGGCACGCGGCTGTCCGGCTTCCCCACAGGGTCCTGACGCGGCTCTCCTGGCTCCAGCGTGTGCTCCTGGCTCCTCTGTCACGGGCTAGCCAGCCTGCAGCCGTGGGTTTAGTTCTGGGGTCTTGATTCTGTCCCACTGGGCTGAGTCTGTTTCTGTCCATTACCAGGCTGTTTAAGTACAGTTTGATAGTATATGTTGAGGTCTGAAAAGTTCACACTGCCATTTTTCCTGTTTTAAAATCAGGGCTGCTTTTGTGGCGTATCTATTTCCAGGAATGTTTGCTCTATTTCGCTGAAGAATGTCACGTAGATTTTGACGGGACGGCACCGACCTCGAAGCTATTTTGGGTGGGACGCTATTCTCTGCGTTCACTGCGGCCAAGCCCGAGCAGGGCATATAGTTCTGTTCGTGTCTATTTCTAACAATGCCTTAGTTTTCTCTGTGCAGGTCCTTCAGCTCCTTTGCTTACTCCTAGGGATTTAATTTCTGTGGTTGGTGTGACTGTAAACGGAGTCATTTTCCTAATTTTGTCCTCTTGTAGCTCATTCTTAGTGATTCTGTGACCTGCTATTTTATTGCGCTGTTGGAGTTTATTTTCCAGTGGAGTCTTCGGGGCGGTGTATATTGTCACGGCACTGGAAGATAAGGGTGGCTTGACTCCTATCCCCGTCTGGATTCCGCTTCTGCCCTTCCCTCGCCTGGGTCTAGCTGGCAGGCTTCCCGCGCTACACTGAGCAGTAGTGGTGAGAGTGGGCGACCTTGTCTCACCCCAGATTAGTGGAAAAGCTTTCAGTTTTTCACCACTGAGAATGAAGTTCGCTGTGGATTTGTCGTGGATGGCTTTTATAATGTTTTGCTTACCCTCCGCTTTTCAAGGGTTTTCATAATAAATGGATGCTGAACCTTATCAAATGCCTTCTCTATATGGATGCCTTCGGCGTCTATACTTGGTCAGATGGCTTTTAACTTTCTCTTTGTTGATGTGGTAAATTATGCTGATTCATTTTCAGATGCTGAATCCCCCTGTGTCCCCTCGTGTAAGGGGTTGGGGCTAAGGAATCTTTATTCTCTTTTTTCTTTTAAGACTGAAACTTTTAAAAAAAAACTTGCATACGTTATAAGGGCTTCTAGTTGGGGGAAGAAATCAAAGCAGCCAGCAAAAAACAGAGGAACAATACTCAAGAGAATCATCACAGACATCATTTCCATTCAAAACATGAATACTTTGGTGTGTATCTTTCTAGACGTGCTGGTAACTCTGCTTAACTACTACCCTGCATTTCAGCGAGAGTGCACGGTGCCTGTTTGGAATAACATCCTTCTACTTCTCCAACGGGCAGTAATCCTGTCAGACTGGGTTTTGCACTTGTTGTTGGAAACTAGCCCACTGCCGCAGGGGGTCAGTAGCTCGGAGAGCTCCCGCCTCGGGCCCCTCCAGTATCACAGGTCAGCAGGACTGGGAGGCTCCGAACGATTTTCTGCAGCAACCCTGACTCACTCACGCGTGCGCCCAGAAGTGCAGCCTCACATACCGAGCGCTGCAGAGAACAAAGCCCGTGTTCCTAAGTGACACGGTAAACACAACCTTTGTGCCTTCCCTTTCTTTAATCAGAAAAAGAGTGGGTCTCAGCTCTGATTCACACCGAGCTGGCTGAGATCAATGTGCTGAAGCGCGGCTGCCAAAGGAAGAACCCCTCAGCAGAACCGGGGGCAGGGCCTGGGAAACCACTCCCAGGGAAATCACCCCCCAATTCACCAGCAAAGTCAAAAGTGCCAAGCAGATGCAAGGAAGGACACCAACCGGCCAGGTACGTGGACACGCCAGTCCCCGGAGGACGCCCGGCCCTCGGGCTCTGAGTCCTCGTCCGTCATCTTTCCAAACGGCCACATGCCGAGGTGCCCGC